AGGCTACAATTTGCTGCAATTGCCCATGCATAGATATCCTGTAAAAGAATTTACACAATAATTTTGAAGTCTAAGAACTTTCTGACGAATCTATTTGAATAATATATTTTGTTATAATACCCTGTAATATTCATTTATATAAAAATATAATCAATTATATAACTACTGCCTCTGTATTCCCTATTCTTAATAGTTTTGTGCTATGAACTTCCGTGGATTATTTCACCCGTTATGATACCCTGTAGTTGAAGCTATCAATAGATCGTAAATATATAAATATAACCTGACGATTACAAGTTCTTATCTCTGTTGTTTTGCTTTCCCTGCCTCTATATATACCCTGTAGTCATTCTAGACATTCATAAAGTACTCTAAACTGGATTCCTTAACTAAAGCTCAAATAAAATACGTACATAACACATCAGTAAATCAGTTCCCACTTAAAGCACCTTAACTAACAGCTAATACATCTACTATACTATTCCCAAACTGTCTATTAGCTAGTTCAAGCTGCTATTCAAGCGCTAGCCCATTGTCAAAAACTTCTCGGGTTTACTAAAGCAAAGCTTGTATACTGCGTTTATTATTGAATTGTTAGCCGTGGATCGGGTTCGAGATCCCATCTGGGGGCTGAGCTTGCACTTTGCTTTTTATGATAAACGCAAATTGAATGAACTTTCATTTGATTAATTGAAATGGCGGCGCGTGTCGTTTGATCACCGATTAAAGGCGTAGATGTAATAGCAAATGGCGTTGCCAGATGGCCTAAACAATAGCATAAGAAATTATCATCAGCACACAGACAAACACACACACACACACATATACATATACCAATAAATAGGCAAACTTTGTTGCGCTGATGTCATCAGACCTTTTCGGTTAACGATTAGTAATGCGTGCGATCGAGTACGTAAATAATCGCATATTGACGAGCGAGTGGTTTGCATTGACCATTGTGAACTGTGGCTGAATGGGTGAGCATGGCTGTGTCTAGTCTAGAATAGTCAGTAGGGGGAGTAGAGGGTGCTGATAAGAAAGTAATGGGTGGTAGGGGAGAGGGGGGAAAGCGTTGATTGTTGATTGTTAATGAATGAATGATGGGTAATGAAAAATGAGAATAATGAATAATGATTATTACTGAGTATAGCCTAATGAATAATGAAAGAGTAAGGTGTATAGAGCAATGAATAATGAATAATGAATAATGAGTAATGAGTAATGAGTAATGAATAATAAATAATAAATAATGAATAATGAATAATGAATAATGAAAAATGAATAATGAGTAATGAGTAATGA